TTTCTCGGATACCTCGACAGGTACGGAGTTTTCGTTTGGTAAGGATGAGGAACACCTGAATAAACACGAGAAAAAATATTCAAAGAGTCCAAGCTGGAAGAGTTTGAACCCGAAAAAAACCAAATACGATTAAAAATACCTAATGGAACAATTAATTTCCGCCTTCCGTCGGGACTTTTAGGTTTCGGACTCGATAATCGAGGCGACCTGCTAGGAGTAGAATCCGACCAAACTCTCGACACGTGTTGATCCAGAATGGCTTGATTGTCGCTGTCTTGTTCTTCCACTTGTAACTTTTCCCGAATCATATCCGCGAGCGTTTTCTCCGGTTCGTATTCGATTTCCATCAATTTTTTATTGAATTTTTCCTGAGCTTCTTGTTGCCTTTTATACGCTTCTAATTTCTCAGTCAATTGTTGAGCAAATTCTTCGGTGCTCAGTTGGCAAGACTGCACGCATACAAAACGGATTAACAAATTAACAAAATAGCAAAGCAAAACAAAACAAATTTTCCTAAAATATTCGAAAAATAAACGTAACGTACCAGGTCTTTCATTCTTAGTGTTCTTGGTATCAACAAATGCGTCGTGTCTCGATTAAGGCTCGCATTTTCTTTCATCGCTTTAAACTGTCTATCGTGTGAACACTTTGACACTTTATGTGGCCCTATAGACATTCCATCCCTGAAACAAAATCATACAATATTATTATTTCAACGTGACAAAAAAAAAAAAAAAAAAAAAATGAAAACATTTCCTCCAAAGATGAACAACTACTCTTCAAGTTTTTTAAAAAGAAGGCATTAATTAATATTTAGCAAATAAAAAACGACAAACAACTTACACTGAATTATCAGTGCACGACATGGCATCGGAATCCGTTCTGGCATCAGAACTCAAAGATTGTAATTCAGAATCCTGTCGGGAAACTGGATTATACGAAGAATACACTCTCGTGTTCATTTGTGCTCCATGCTGTAAATAAACCCTACGCACACGAACGAAAAAATAAAGCCAAATAAATAAAAAAAAAGCGCAAAATGAAAACTTAATTAATAATAATAATAATAATAATAATAATAATAATAAAGCAGCAGCACAAGCAACTACAAACATTAATAATAATAATAATAATAAAATCAATTAATCAATAAACACAAAAACAAAAACGTTCAAAAAAAAAAAAAAAAATCAAAATCAAACATGATGTCTCACCCGGCAAAAGCTTCAGGTTTAGGTCGGACTTCAAAGGCACGACGGATTTGCGTTGCCACAAGTGCATCTCGAGTCAGAGGCAGGGAATCGGTATTGATTTCGAGTTCGGAATCTTCGAGCAATGTGGGAAGAAAACTGCAGGGAGGATTACACACGTTAACATCGCGACCAGCGCTGCTGCTAGACGATGAGCCTGAACCTGAAAATTAAAAAAAATAATAATAAAATTTACAAGGTAAAATTTTTTAAGGTTTTCCGTTTGGGAAAATCCACATTTGACGAAAAATATGAAATGATTCTCACCGGATCCGGAAGATGCGGATAAATCTTGAGGTAATTGCTGAAGATAATTAAGGTATATATCGGATTTGAGAAAATTCGGATAGGTTGTCGCCGTGATTCGTTTCCCAATTTCCGTTTGAACCGAATCGAATACGCCCTTGTCGAAAACGTTTTCCCTGATTCTTGTCATTACCTCGCGACGCATATCTTCCCGTATGGGTAAAGTAGGTGAGAGGATGAATTTCCTTGAGAACAAAAAAAAAGAAGTAAATCATTGTTTTGTTAAATTATAGTAATTTTTTTTTTTTAAAAACAAACTTACATGTATATGGCTTTGATAAAATGAGCAACCGATTCTTTGTTCGGTTGCTTTTTGAGACCCTCACAGGCAAACCAAAAGTCGAGAGCTTCAGCGTGAGGTTGTCCTTCTCGTTCCAAATACCTATCGGATGAAATAATAATAATAATAATAAAACAAATTTAAATACCATCTGAATCACGAAAGCGTCAAACGATTGCTTTGATAAATTCACCTTCTGAACAATTCGACGCCATCGTCGTCTTGCAACAAACAAGACAGACTCTTTGCCCACTGCACGCAAGGTGGTGGGGATCTACTTCCCTCGAAGACAGGTGTACAGGCTCCATAATAAGCACAACTACCTTCTGGTTCAAAACCTAACGGCGCGTTCCCCTCTGTAAACATTATTAAAATATTAAAAACCCATACAACGCACGCACGCACGCACGCATTTAAACTTTATAAGAGAGAGAGAGAGAGAGAGAGAGAAAAAGGATAAAAAATTACCCAAGTTTGCGGGAATATGTGCGTTGTAACCACGAGGAGTATATTTATAAGGAAGAACGGATGGATTGTTTGGGAAAGCGGGGGTTGTTGTATTACTACAACAACAACCAGGATCCGTTTCTTCACCCGGTACGGGGGGTCGTGGCGAATTTTCGTCAAAATCACCGTGTCCAATTCGTGCGATTGGTCGACTCATGATTCTTTAAAGCCGACAGTGATAACTCACTCCCGTAATTCATTGCACACCACCTGAAAAAAATCACAGGAAAGTCATTAGAAAAAATAAAATTAAAAAAAAAAAAAAAAAAAAAATTTCAAACTTAACGCGCGCATGCGCAATGAAACAATGAAACCTCTTCCGAGACAAAAGGCTAAACAAAAAAAAAAAAAAAAAATTATAAATTTCAAACACATTTATTATTATTATTATTATTAATTTCCTTAAATTTTTAATTCCCTAAAAAAATTGAAAGCCTATTCGAGATGAATCTTTTCAACACACACACACAAACATACCTTAACCATATTAATTATATAAATGTGTGCTTTCTTAAACAAAAAGAAAAATATTTCCAATTTTTTGTTTTTATATACAAATATTAAAAGTTTACCAATCAAATATTTTTAAAACCTTCTCTTCGATTACCACAAAAAAAAAAAAAAAAAAAAATATTTTTAATAAACTGTATTCAACAGACACGATTCAAAAATCATTACAACGATTATACCACTCGGTAGGTTTCATTTAACAAAAAAAAAAAAAAAAAAATTTATCGTTTTTTAATTTTTCATTTACTTCAACGAACAATAAATTATGATTGGCAATACAAAAGAAATAATTCACTATTATTATGAACAAAAAAAGAAAAAAAAAAAAAAATGCTTTTATTCCACTACTTGTGAAAATATTATGATATACACATCAATCATTTCATATTCGCTATCGTTTGAATATGGCAATCCAACCCAGGAAATTCTAAACTATTGAACATGAGATTCATCGAATCCCAGCTTCCTTCAGCTATCTGTGCGCAAGCGCTTACATTTTTATCCTCTTATGTAAGTTCACCCCTCGCTTTTCTTTCCTTTTCTTTCTTTTTTTTTTTTTTTTTTTTTTTCTCTCTCATTTTTTCTTAAAAATAACCTAAAGATAAACACATCTATTGTTCAATAGCAAATATACATGATGCAATTATTTCGTTTAAAATAACTCGCAGACAAACCCAACAACCCCTCGACTTAAATGGATCTGGGTATATAAAAAATTTCACATGAGGCAAATTATATTACAAAACGCATTCAATTCAACTAAAAAAAAAAAACTCTGGTAATCGAGTGGGATTTTTTTTTTTTTTTTTTTTTTTTAAATGAAACGCTGATTCACCATCATCATTATTGATCGCTTTTTTTTTTTTTTTGAAAACATGAAAACAATAAATTTGTAAAAAAAGAACCCTGATTAAATTCACTGTTTTAAAATTAGATAAATTTATGAAATTAATCCAGGAATTGCAAACATATACAGTATAAACATTATTCATTATTCTCCTTTTAACATACTTGTGGCATGCATTCACCTTTTTAAAAATATTTCCTTACTAATTTTTCATATTCATTTATATTTATAAAATTTAACCTAACCATTTCTGCTTGTTAACACACACACACACACGAAATTAAAAATTTTATGCATCCTTATCAAGTATATAAAAAAATTAAACCTTTTACTGAATTTCCAGTCAGTTCTCTTCATATCTTATGGTAAATTCAACAAAAAAAAAAAAATGTCACCGCATCATTTAAACGTTTGTCATCCAACAAAAAATAACGTGTGTGTGAAAAAGTTTATTACAAATACACTCTCATTCCAAAATAAAATACAGTGAAAAATGTAAACAATTCAAATCGTCTTGTTTCCAATGTGACAAATGTTTCGAAACAATGTCGTTTCGTTGACAATCGTCGTCGACTCCTAGCGGCGGTGTTTCGAAACATTCACGGCAAATGACATTATTATTTTCGATTCGTTCAAACAAACGCCACTTTAAATTTTTTTTTATTCTTCGCATTCACATACAATTTACAAAAAAAAAAAAAAAAAAATTACACGCACACGCACGCACACACGCACAAGTGTGCAATATTAATGCAACGATCGTTTACGTACGTATTTAAATAATTAATATCGAAAAATAATAATAATAAAAAATCGTAAATTTTACGTTAAAAAAAAAAAAAAAAAAAAACCCTCCATTTGCACTCCACATCACGTGATCACACATCACAACAACTCGTTTTGTCATTTTACATCCCGCCAAATTTACTTTTTAAATACGTGCGAAAACGCGCGCGTTTGCGTGCGTGCGTGTGCGTGTGCATGAGATAAAAATGAAAATTTTTCTCACCTTATTTAAATTGTGATTTTAGCAATGTAGTTTATAGTTTGTTAGATTTTTATTACGACTTGAAAACATTAATTGATAAAATGGAGAGAGAGAGAGAAAAAAAAGAGAAAAAATCCGAATTGAACGAATCCTCCTTTTATTATTTATTAGGCACCAACTTGCGTTCAGTCTACTTATTCTTATAATAAAATGGACGCTTTATGAGTTTGTTAAAAGCACTGAAATAAAAAAACAAAAAAAAAAAATTATTCGGATCAATAAAAAAATTTCACAAAAAAAATAAAAAGACAATCGTAAAAAAAAAAAAAAATACTTTTATCATTCGAAAGTAGTAATTTTTTCAAATAATAATAATAATAATAATAATAAGAAAGTTTTTCTTCGATAATTTCCACGAAAAAAAAAAAGAAAATTGTTGTTAAAGAACCCCACCATTAAAAACAATAGAAAACTCATTATCGACAATTCATCAATTGCAATTTTTTGTGTATTTTCGCGGCGAATCTCAAAACGTCACGTCTATTCACAAAAGAAAGACGACGATGGGTGGTAAAGGTAAAAAAAAAAAAAAAAAAAAAAAAAAAAAGAAAGAGAAAGTGGCGAAAGACGAAGATGGCAGACTGGCAGGGAGGCAGGCACGCAGGTAGGTAGGTAGGTAGGTAGGTAGGTAAGCAACCATCAAAAAAAACCAGGTCTAAAATTTTTTCGTCTTTTTGTTTTGCGTGACTACTACTACTTATTATTATTATTTTCAATACGAAAAAAAAAAAAAAAAAAAAAAAAAAACTCTTACTCGTTTTATACGATATGAATTAAGATGACGCCAGGATCTCCATTTGAATTTATTGCGACAAAGTCACGCATACGTTAAAATAATAATAATAATAATAATAATAATAATAATAATAATAATAATAATAATAATAACAGTAATAATAATAAAAATAATGCAAGTTTTTTTTTTACTACCACTTACAATTTGTTTTTTAAACAAATATTTTTATTATTTATTTATTTATTTATTTATTTTTTTTTACATTTGCGACATTATAGCCTTGAGGGGAAAAGAAGGAAAAATAAAAAATGTCCGACTTTGTCGATGATTCATGACGGAAGAAACGAATGACGTCAAAAAAAAAAATAGAATCGGGTTCGATTCGATTGTTCCAGAATTTTTTTTTTTTTTTTTTTTTTAACTTGAATTTTATTAGTCTCATCCAACCTAAGAGAGAATGTTGTTGTTGTTGTTACACTAAATGTTAATTGTTTGTTGTTGTTGTTGCTCTCATTCATAACGACAAAAATAATAATAATAATAATATACGCATAAAAAAAGACCGGTTTGTATGTCTCGTTTGGAAAAAAAAAAAAAAAAAAAAATTTGAATGAAATTATGCAACAAAGTTTTTTTTTTTTTTTTTTTTTTTTAACTGCCATTAAGGGGCGTAATTTTTTAATAGCTAATAATTTATCCATTGACGGCAAATTATAAATAAATAAAATAAATAAATAATTTTTTTTTTTTTTTTTATGTAAATAAAATAAAACTTTGACACCTTAAAAAGCAATTCGTCTAAAGGGATAAAAACTTTTTGCTTATTATTATTAAACCGGAAACGATCCAACCAAAATAAAAAAAAATTTTGTCACGTGGTGTCAAATAATAATAATAATAATAATTTATTTATGTATACATATACATAAATTCTAAGAATGTTTTATTTATTTATTTTTATCAAAAAAAAAATTGAAATAATTAACATGGAAAACACACATTTTCCATTCTTTATACAAACAAATCGATAATTACTTTTTTTTTTTTTTTTTTTACCTGTTATTTTTGTGAAATTACTCTCTTACTCAAAAATTTTTCAATACAACCACAACAACAACAACAACATTGAAAATTTAAAAATTCAATTAAGGTACGATAATGATAATAATAATAATAATAATAATATTGAAACACTTAAAAGTAAAAATTAATTAAATTCGTCAATGTCGTAGGAAAATGAATTTCATCCTTTTTTACATTTCGCAAGGCTAACGAACTTTATTATTATTATTATTATTATTATTATTAATGGAAGTTTTATTCGAAAGACAATGAGAAGAAGGGCGAGGGAAGGGGGAGGGGAGGAAGGGGGGAAAACCACGAAAAATTTCTCTTTTAAACCAAAGAACATTTGTGATTAATGACATATGAATGACAATCCTCCTCCTCCTCCTCCTCGCGGGTTATTTAATTATTATTACTTAATTATTAAACTTATAAACACCTCGGGCTGAACGAGAGAGAGAGAGAGAGAGAGAGAGAGAGAACAACAACAACTTTAAAACACGTGGAAAAATTACACGAGATTCAACACGCGCACTCACTCACTCACTCACGTGTCTTTCTTAAGGTAAAATCCTTACTACTACTCCCTGTAAAATTTTTCGTTTCGCCGAGTGGAAACTATGAAAAGTGAAAGAGCGACAGAGAGCGAGAGAGAGAGAGAGAGAGAGAGAAAAGTGGTAAAGGAAGAAGAAAATCTTAAATCATCAAGTGTAACAAACAAACAAACAAACGACTTCCCACGACTTTCCAAGTGAAAAAAAATAAAACGATAACAAAAAAAAAAATAAAAAATAAAAAAGAGGAAGAAGAAAAAAAAAGGCAAAGATGCCGCGACCGACGACCGCGCCGGATATATATATTTTAATTTAAATTTTCTGTTTACGAAAGAAATATAACGACACACGAATATTATTATTATTATTATTATTATTATTATCATTATTATTATTA